GATCCGGAAGAGAGAGCCTCCTCGTATTTGGCTTGGTCAAATTCCACGACCAAGGTTTCCACGGTTGTTCCAGTGAGGTGAACGTCGGATTGCGCCACCACCTCTTCGTCAGAGAAGCTAGTCCCCAGCGGAGTCGCCATCTTTTGTTTGTGGGAAATTTTGTAATAAAAAGAATATAAGGAAAGAATTGCGTTTGATTTTATTCTCTCTAACTGCTTAGAAAAAGAATGATTACAACTCTCTCAACTCTCGATTACAATTTGGATTCCTAGTTACAAAAGAGAAGAGAATGATCTGGATTCTCCCCTTTGTTTAATTCTGGGTTCTTCACGGTAGCGATGAGATGCCTCCCTCGAATGCTTGCGTCGAGTTTGCTTCTCGTTGACGATCCGAATATCTATACTTCACTGGAACAACTGTCTTGGCCGGTTGATAACTCTTGTCGAGTTTTGTGATTCAGAACAAGTAACAAACTCTAATGATAGAGTTGTTGGAACCGAAAATAATTCGGTTAATAAGCCAAATATCGATGGTTTAGAGATCCTCCGTTTGTTGATTTCCCAGACTGTGTAAGGAGTCAATCCTCCTTTTTCTGATTCTGGAAGATTTGATCGAAAGATCCCCCTCCGATTAATGAAAAGAAATCTCTCTTGATCTGATTATCAAAAATCCGATCTCCCCAATCCAAAAAAAGAGATCCTTTACTCTGTTGAGTTTGTTGCTATTTATAGGGGGATTAGGGGTGTAACTGCCCCCATAATCCGCGCCTAAATGGGGGTTTAGTTACCCCATTAGTCGGGTGTAACAACCCACTAAAGCCACTCCTCAAATCGTGGGTGAAGAACAGCTTCGAAGTTGTTAGATCACGTTTGAATGAGTCAGAACCTTAACCTGCGTTCTGGCGGTGATTGAGCTGCGTTTGGCAGCGACTGACGGGCTGCGTTGGGCAGTGATGGATGAATTGTGTCGGCAGCGGTTGATAAGCTGCGTTGGGCAGCGATGGAGCTGCGTTGGGCAGCGATGGATAAGCGTTCGAGCTGTGCTTGGCAACGATTGGAGCTGCGTTGGGCAGCGATTGATAAGCTGCGTTGGGCAGCGATGGAGCTGCGTTCGAGCTGTGCTTGGCAACGATTGGAGCTGCGTTCGAGCTGTTGATTAGATTTCTCTGTCTTTATATATGGATGACACCAAAGACCAGTAAAGAAGGTCTTATTCAGGCCATTTGTGACAATTGAGGCATCTCAATAACGCTTTATCAACTGCAGGTCATGATCTCCACTGAGTGTGTCGAATATCATTACACTGCTCATCAGCACCTCTAATGGTTGCTAACATGATATTAGTCATGTTGTTGTCGCAGCCATCAAGATCAATCATCTCACATAAGAAGCTGCATTCGTGTTTATAGCTGTTGAAGCGGCGTAGGTGATTGAATCGGTGTAGTGTCTTGATGATGATACGCGGGGAGGACTTCCACGTCTTGGTTTGAAGAGATCGTCGATTTGTAATCCTTTCTGTCAGAGTATTGCTAAAGACTGTCATTTTGTAATCTTTGCTTTAACTCTTTGACATGTGAAAATCTTCGAATTGTAGCCTTCTGGAAGTCGTCAGATTGTAACTTCCATCATCAGTGTTTGATGGCGACTCAGCTATCCATTGTGATTTTTAGACAGCCTACAAGTACATATATGTATAAGTATACTCTCTCTTATATATGTACAAGTATATATAAGTTTCATATCCTATACTTTCCATCATGGTTCATGACTTACTAACAGTGCAGGTTTCGACGGTAGCTTCGGAATCCGCCTTTAACATAGCAGGACGTTTGATCGACGACCACAGGACATGCTTAAATACATATATTGTACAAGCGGTGATGTGCTTACAAGATTGGTGGAGGTACGAGAAGCAAACGCAAGGCATCGATCAGATGACTATAATTAAAGATAAATTTGAAGAGTTAGGACTGTTAGACCCTAGAGGGAGAGTGATTAGGATCTTATGCTAATCTAATCCGATTTTATGCCAAATAAAATTAATTAACAAGTTATCCTAGCAAGAATGAAATACAACAATATATATGAGCTAGGATGAACAAACTAACTAATGAGACAAAGGCGATATGAGCAATGAGCACAAATATAAATGAACGCCAAAGCACACACAAACACAATCAAATGATCACGGAGTTCGGACCTTCCGTCTTACGTCTCCGCTCCCCACTCCCGGGGAGAAATCCACTATCACAACCAGATTTTCTACGCTCATCCGAATAACGTTTATAACCACACTATGTCGGTTTTCAACGCTCACCGATCAACGTATATACTCACTCTCACAATGTCGGTTTTCAATGTTCACCGATCAACGTCCACTCCTCACACTCGGTTTTCTAGTTCACCGAAAATTTCACAACACACTCGGTTTTCTAGCTCACCGAAAACCTTACAATACTCACAATGTAATAACAAATGATTTGTTCTCTAATACAAAGTGAGAACTCAATTAAAGCTCACACTCAATTGTTACAACTCTCACCAACCCAAATATACTATGTATGAAAATACAATAAGCTCAATGTGGGTGTGTGTAAACAATGAGTGAAACAAAATCAACTAAACTCAAATGTAAATACTAGCTTAATAGAATTGATAATCAACAAGTAATTATGAATAAAAGCTAGAATTGAGTTTAGAAAAACTTCTCTAGATGATAAGAGAGAGAGAGATGGATTGAAGCTCAATGAATTGATCTCCACTTCCTCTTGTGGAATTCTTCACAAACCAAACTCTTAAACAAACTTAAAACCAAACTTAAACTCTTTTAAAACTTGTTAAAATATTTCTTGGATCATGTTGAGAACTGAGATCAATGGGGTATTTATAGCCTCTAAAGACCTCAGCCAAAAACCCCAAACAAAAGACCAAAAAAACCCCAAACAGCTGTTGCAGAAAATAGCCATTGGAGTCTGAAAAGACAGTGTGGCGGTCGACCGCGAGCAACAAAGAAACAGGACTATGGCTCTGGACAAGCGACGGTCGACCGCGGCTACGGTCGACCGTCACGGTCGAGGGGGAGCCATAAAAACATATAATGAGTTTCTGAACTCATGGCGGTCGACCGTGGTGGTCGACCGCGAACTGACACATGAAATCAGGTCTGAAAACTGTTTATCTGATTTTAAAATACTATTTAAAAATATCAAATAAATTCAAAAAAATATAAAACTTTGGGAAATGATTGTAGACATGATAATACACATGCTATAAAAACTGGTTTTCTAAAAGGACTTTTCAAATAAGAAATATCATCATTTTGCAAAATAGTTCAAAACACGAAAATGTAAACATATGAATTTTGATATTTAGACTAAACCATGTTTTGAAACTTTACAAAATGATTTTATAGACTTGAAGAAAGATGTAAACTATTGTTATGAAGTCTATAAACAATGAATGTAGTATTTTATCAAAATACACATATAATGCACTAAAACATGATTTCATTGAACTAAATAGAATTGATATTGATGAAATCATATATATGCATATAAGTATGAAACAAAAATATGTTTTCTAATTATATATATATACACGAAGAAACCAATAAATGTGTGTGTATAGATAATTGAGCTTAAAGTACTTAACACACATAATATAAACACCTAAACTAAGTTACCCAAGCAATCTTGATCTTCAATAAGTTTGACTTGGTACACTCTGCGGATGAATCTTAAACTTGGATCTTCAACTTGAATTGCATTAGCTTCAACCACTATTCCGCCAACCTCCATTTGATATGATCGTGAATGCTCGATTCCATTCATCCTCCAACATATTGTTTGTCTACAATAAATAAGAAAACGCAAACACTAGACAAATAATATTAGTAGTAAATTGTTTGTAAATCATCATCAAAACAAGAAGGCCAACAAGGACTAGCAGATAAGTATAAATATTAGATAATATTCATCAAATTGTAATTTTTATTTTTTAGCTTTAAATTTGTAATGAATTATTTCAGAAAAAGTTACAAATGAGAGTGATATATGTGAGTAGGTGCTAACCTAGTTGGGATGTACTCATCTATTGTGATGCGACGAATTCCGAAATAAATTTATACTTGTAAAGGATTTACTGATTATTAATAAAGAATTTATTTTTATCATCTTTTATTTTTATAATTTTTTTGTACTTGTAATTTATCTCATTTCAAGTTATTAAAAAATTTTATGTTATTTTCTGTAATTTTTATGTATATTTTATGATTTATGGGGATTTTTAAAAATTTTTAAAAAATATAAAAAAACATTAAAAAAACCCACCAAAGATTGTTGGAATTAATAAGCTAAAACATATATAGAAGCGTCGTTTATGCATTGAAATTGGAGATTGTTGCAACAACATTACTTGAAACTATATTTGGCCCCCGAATACACCCTTAAACATGTGCTTCTCCTATCAAAATCAAACCCCTCAAAATTTCCATGACAAAAAAATTGTTTTCTTTATATATACTTCGAAGTCATTTGAAGTTTTTCCACTAGGTGGTCCATCAGTATTACAATATCACATCCAACCATATATATTGGACAAATTTTGAAAAGCAACCCATTTCCAAAAATAATTATAAAAAACGACATCTTTGAAACTAATTTGCCAAAAGCAACCCAGTTTCAGCCAGTTGGCTGAAACTAGGTCGTTTTTGGCAAATAAGTTTCAAAGAGTCCGTTTTTTATGAATAAGTTTGAAAACGGGTACCTTGGTTTTCAAAATTTGTCCATATATATTTCCAATTTTTTAAAAAAAAAAACCTAAATTTAAAATTTGAATCTATAATAGTTGCATCTTCATACTCGTAAACTTCTTGTACACTATGCAGGAATAGTGAGAGGGGAGTCAAATTATGGCCCAAAACTCCCCTAACTTATCTCCAAAGTCACCTTGTTAATTTAACTATCTTTTCCCTCTCCCTCAAACCCCCTTATATAAGGAAGACTAACCAAAAGAAACGGATCAAGCCTCTCCTTGCTCTTCCAACCTCTCTCTATAAATTAATCTCCAAAAAAAAAAAAAAAATCATCATTAATGGCTCCTACTTCTTTCTTCCCTCCCCTCCTCCTTCTGCTTCTCTTCTCTTCTGTCTTCGCCGTTGAGTCTGGAGTTGTAGAGAGAGGTGTTTTAGCTCAGCAGGAGGCCGACCTCGTCGTCGGACTGCCCGGTCAACCCCTGGTCAACTTCCGGCAGTACTCGGGTTACGTTACGGTTAATGAGAGCCACGGGAGAGCACTGTTCTACTGGTTCTTTGAGGCTACTCGTCATGTCGAGAAGAAGCCTCTTCTCCTTTGGCTAAATGGAGGTGCGTCCATTTAATTTGTTGTGTTTTTTTTCGGTCCTCTATGAAATTTTATTAAAAATAATCTTGTTGTATTTTTAGTTTGCTGGAGAGAGAGAGAGAGAGTAGTATATACTAGAAAAGCATGAAAAACATGATAATAATTTTTCATTAAATAAGAGAATACATTTGGTTCTCTATGTAGTTTTATTAAAAATTGTTTTGTTGTATTTTTGGTTTGGAGGAGAGAGGATATCCAATTGTAGATAAGGGGTGAAATGAACAGTATTACTAGAAAAGCAAGGTCACAAATTTTCATTAAGAGGATGCATTTGTCAGAATATAAAAGTAACTTCAGAGTGGCTATTAGAACAAATTTTTGTTTTAAACTCATTTCAACTTTTTTTTACCGGAATCGACCGACTCTCTTTTTATTTAGCGGAATCGACCCACTTCTCGGCCACGTTGCTGACGTGGCCGAGAAGTGGGTCGATTCCGCTAAATAAAAAAGAGTCGGTCGGTTTGTAATATAAAAAATTGGAATGGGTTTAAATCAAAAATTTGTTCGTGGCTATTAATATGGTACGACAGTAACATAGTTCAAATCTCCTCGGCCATATATTTAAAGCGGATAAAAGAAATATTAATGTTCCAATCCAGATTTCGGTCTAATATAAAATTTTAATCCTCAACTCTTATCACATGTTTAAAGTTTAGACATTTAACTAAATCTTTGTTATCTAATATTTTCTCGTGTAGAAATTTTATTATTATTATTATTATTTTCTTTCTATAGTAAAAATATGTAACATCATAAACGATCAAATCGAAGATTCTAACTTTGATGCAAATATACAAAAAATTGGTCATATGTTCTGGATTACTATTTTTATTAAATTAGGCTTTATTTTGGAACATATATGATGCTGACATTTCTTTTTGCACATGCATCTCATATATCGACTGGTCAACAATAATATTGTCCAAATAATCAATGTCTAGGCTGCAATTTCATTTTCATTGATGTATATAATTGACTCTAACTTTAATGAGGCTTTTAGTCATTTCAAAAGAAAAAAAAATAAAACAGCTTTTAGTCAATTTTCATGGTGGATATTCGTATGATAACTTTTAGAGGGGAGCATTGGTGCAACGGTTAGGTTGCTGCCTTGTGACCTGGAGGTCACGGGTTCGAATCTCGGAAACAACCTCTCCACAAAGCGGGGGTGTAAGGCTGGGTGCATCTGATCCTATCTAGAGCTCACAATGGTGGAAGCCTCGTGCACTGGGCGCCTCTTTTTTTTATATTCGTATGATAATTACTATTTTTTTCTTCAATAAATCTTTGTGAAAATCAGATCATATCTTCTTCCATTAATGTATTAAATTCTTTTTCTTTCCGTTTTAATTTTTAAAATGGTAAATTGCAAATAACCCCCTTATATGTATGTAAGAAACTCAATTAACTCATTTATCAAGCACTTAGCATCTCTCGATAAATTGCACATAGTATCCCTCAGGAATTGAAAAAAAAGGTGCAAATTCTAATGAATGAATCGAGGATATCAATGTATAGACAAGAAGGTTATCTGCCATTTTAAGTTTTTTTTTTAATAGGAAAACCCCACTTATATTTTATTAATTTTTAGCAGTTACGTGCACATATCAACATATCCTTTATTTCCTGCCAGTAACTTATTATATCGAGTGGGATATATGTTTGTCCCCTTGCAAGTCCAATATCCTTCTAGGGATCATCAAATTCTTATAATTAATTATCAATATTTTGTCTAAAATCCACTCAAAGCTTTCTGTTTTGACCTCTGACTTCATGAAGTTCTCTGGGTTTCTTCTGATTAAGAAATGCTTTAGAATGCAAAGATATCTGTTGTACAGCTTTTCATCTAGATCTTTGAATTACTTTTCAACAAACAAGTTGCAAAATAAATTGATGAACACTGATTGTGATTGATGATGATAATGTGGGGTTACCCTGATAATAATTCTGACTAACTACTAAAGACTAAACATGGATTTAATGATGGAAAAAGACAAGGACGGTTGTTTGATAAGGGGACCATCGGTTCAACCATCAAAATGTTACTTTTGCCAAATTGCAAAAGTGACCACATTCTTATTCCTGTATAGCGACGAAAGAGAGAAATAAAGACAGAACAAGTTGCAACGGTTAAAGCAATTCCCCTTTATCGTTTCAGTTAATAAGGTTACGGACTCGTTGAATACATCAGCATGACGAAAACCGAGGCAGTTTCATAAAATTACTAGACTTTCAGATCTGCAGGAAAATATCTGACAATAATCGTAATAAAAATATTTTACGATAATTTGTGTAATAAAAATATTTTGTCGTGTTTTCGCGTAAAACCGCTAACAGTTCATGATAATTTTTAGAAATTTACGCAAATGACTTTTGGACACTTTGGGCCTCTAGCAGTTTAGAGAGCATTGTTCCTTTTTTTTTAATACCATATTTACAAGTTTATACTGTAAAAAAATGAATGGCTTGTGAGTATGGGTCACCATCTGCCAGTCTGTGATCCCATAGGATCTCATACGGTCAGTTCCCAATTCGACGGATGGCTTAATGATTGAGCCTCTGCCATCTTTTCACACTTTGTTTTTTTTTATAACCCTATAAAGTTTAATTTCTTAATAAATGTTGAGTTTGTTTTGGTTACATAGGCCCTGGATGTTCTTCTATTGGGTACGGAGAGGCAGAGGAGCTAGGACCCTTTCTGACACAGAAAGGTGTGCCTGAACTCAAGTTCAATAAGAACTCTTGGAACAAAGGTAAGTTTATAGAAATTAAATATTTTTTTGATTTATTTTATTATAGGATTAATTGCGATAGACCCCCTGTAGTGTCTTTTTCTCGAACTTACTGCTCCTCTAGTTTTATTTTGGCAGATAAGATCCTCTAAAAGTGTAAAGTTTTCGACTATTTTACACTAAATTTGTTTTTTTTTTAATTTCTCTTTCTTCGAGGGTCAAAGATCGAGTCAAAACAACGATATGAACTTGAACCCTCATCACAACTTCCGAGTTTTGGTTTAATGGTTAGAGGGGCTTTTAAGACAGTTGAGCATAAGAACATTATAAAAATTATAGTATTAACAGACAATATTACATGTTCATGATAGAATTAGCAAAAACAAAAGTTATGGACAGCAGAAATTCTGCATGGCGCAACATAAAGAGATGAGTGGTCCTTGATATCCTGCGTTCAATCAGGGGTACATGCATCAGACACCCACCTATATATGTTGCTTTCAATCTTAAAATGAGGTTGAAATCTGTTCTGAAATGAAAAAAAGATTAGCTTTATAAAGTCACCCAAGAATTAAAATGAGGTCTGATCTAGAGCTTGAGCACAAGTTTTTAAAGGGAAATATCTACCTTTTCTCAAATGAATTAGTGAACTAATTGCCTTATAGGGTAGAAGATTTCTTTAAACATATTCATACTAGTAGCTTGCCTTGAACTTGGGTTTTGCTTATTCACAATCTTTCAGCCTCTCACTTCCTGTTTTGATGTCAATTCTTGCTTTGATGAATAAATTTAGCTGATCAGCTGAATAAAGTTATTATGTAATCCTTGCGTAAAAAAGAATGAGAATGCTTTTATTAAAAAAATTTAATAAAAATTGCTAATTGAAACTCTGACAATATAAATTTTTAATGATTTTTTCTCATTTTCAGAGGCCAATTTATTATTCGTGGAGTCACCGGTTGGTGTCGGTTTCTCCTATACAAATACAAGCTCCGATCTGCAGCAGCTTGGAGATAACATTACCGGTACGTTATTTCTAGTATATTGTATTCAATGTTTATCATATGAATCCTTCACTAACCTCTAATTAATCTTTACAGCGCATGATTCTTACCAATTCCTTGTCAATTGGTTTAAGAGGTTCCCCCAATTCAAATCCCATGACTTCTACATTGCAGGAGAAAGTTATGCAGGTCAAATTTTGCATACACAAGTCTGTTATTATCAAACTAGAGAAAATTATAATTTTTCTCTTACTTTGATTTTTCAGGGCATTATGTTCCTCAACTCGCTGAGAAAATATTCGATGCGAACAAAGAGACCACAAAGGACGCCTACATAAATTTGAAGGGTTTCATGATAGGAAATGCTCTAATGGACGACGATACTGATCAAACTGGGATGATCGACTATGCGTGGGATCATGCTGTGATATCTGATAAAGTTTATCATGATATCAAGAATACTTGCAATTTTAGCCAAGATCCTGTCACAAAACCTTGTGATAGTGCTTTGAATGAGTATTTTGCAGTGTATGATCTTATTGACATGTACAGCTTGTACTCTCCGGATTGTGTTGAGCAGAATAGTTCGTCGACTTCTAGAAGGTCTACGATGATTGAGGGTGTTGCACCTAAGCTCTTTTCTAAATTTGTAAGTTTTCACACGCTCAAAAGTTTCAGTTTTCATAGGCAAACATTTCAAATTTGAGATTATAACAGTATTTGGGGTAAATTTCACAAACACTGGTAATTTTTGGGTATTTTTTTAAACTTAGCATAAGGCATTCTCAACCTTTCAGGCTTTCAGGTTTCTAAGTCATAGTTAAAGGTGCGCATTCTTCAAATCTCATACAAACAACTCACATGAGAATGTTTTAGTTGGCTAAAGTTTGATCAGATTATGTAGAAAAACACCCGAAAACAAAAAAAAGACTGTCTTCCATGAAATTTGAAATATTGTTGAAAATTTTGTCTCTTATGACAGAGAGCTTGGCATCATAAGCCAGCAGGTTACGATCCCTGTTTATCAGACTACACGAATGCCTATTTGAATAGGCGAGATGTGCAAGAAGCTCTACATGCAAATGTAACGGGAATCAAGTACAACTGGACGCATTGCAGGTATAATTTCTGAAACAGTCTTTAATGATGTGTGTATATGATCTTTTTAAAACTGAAAATGTTCCCTACAAGTTTTTATTTTATTTTTTGTAGTGCTACACTATGCTGTTATTCTTTTGTTACAGTAATGCAATTGAAAAATGGCATGATGCGCCGGCCTCTATGCTACCAATTATTCAGAAGCTCATCAAGGGCGGGCTTCGAGTTTGGGTTTATAGGTAAAAGCATTTTAGAAGTTAAATTCATCCCCCTTCGATTCTTTTGAATAAATGACTTTGAAATGTTATGAAACATTAGACTAGCTTTTCTTGAGAAAAGGACTAGATCAAAATATGAGGAAATTCACTTTTTCATATTGATGAAATTAAGTCATAATAATAACTTGATCATATCGGAAACCTCTTGAGCCTATGAAAATCTATGTTTTAATGAAAATGTCTCTTCATTTCTTGTCTTTACAGCGGAGACACTGATGGAAGAATTCCAGTAACCTCAACAAGACTAACATTGAACAAGCTAGGCCTCAAGACCATTCAAGAATGGAAACCATGGTATAATAACAAACAGGTATAACCTTAGTTCCACAAACTTGCATTCAAATTTATATTTCGCTTTCAATTTTTATAATTCATTATGTTCATGTTTTTTTTCATTAATAGGTCGGAGGATGGACGATAATTTTTGATGGGCTGACATTTGTGACTATTCGTGGAGCTGGACACCAAGTGCCGACATTTACTCCTAAGCAAGCAAGGCAGCTTATAAGCCATTTCTTAGCGAATAAGCAATTGCCCGCGTCCTCATTTTAGCTAGTAGTTTTTCCTAGTAAATTCGGAAATAACTCGATTTATACTTTTGTTTTTCGACTGCCATTGTTTACAAATAGAGAGACTATTGGGAAGTGGTGCAAGCCATTCTCCATTTATATATTTGAAAAGTCTGATTCTTGATTTAGAGTCTCCAGCAGTTGCATTGTGTTGTGAGGGGATGAGACTAAATAGCTCAAGTGTACACTTCATTTGATACGTATCTAATTGGAGAGTTATCAGGTTAATAAATGAGAATTAAAGAATTACAGGTTTCTGTTCCAATGACCCGGGCAATATGTGGTAATCTCTTGTTCTTGTTACACGTGGAATTTTGAATTAGATTCATTTTTGTACTAGTCCTGATATTTGACTGTCCTCTTCAAATTAAGCTCAAATTTTCAATCAATGTTGTTGTTGCCTACTTATATGTGGATATCATTAGGAAGAACATTCCTTTAGCAATTCAATTAAAACCTCTGAAGTTTTATCCAAGTTAGGCACAATGAAATAATTGATGGAACAAAAATTCTCAATTGCGAAAGGAACAAAATAATTGTAAAGGAAACAAAAGATGACTTGCAAAAATATCCAGCGTATCCTCCTGAATTTCTTCCTGTCAACATTATCAAACAAACGGATGATACTTGATTTCAGGAATTTTTTTCTTTTTGAACAGGTAAATATGATTTTATTTCAAGCTCTGATCAGCCGGAGAAAAATAGAAAAAACAACAACATAGCATTACGGACCGTAAAACTAATATAATACATTGATACAATAGATATACATTTCATTATGTCAGTAGATAAAATTTCAATAAGCATGTGGGCGTTATCGATTTTCCAGCTTAGCAGTGAACTTTGACTGTCACGATCGCGAGATGAACTGAAGACTACCTCACCTTCAGAAAAATCAACATGCTGTGGTGCTCGCACGCCATGGACTGGAACTCTTCGTGATGAGAATACCGTCAAAATGTGGATGAGAATTATTGCCGCATGATCAAAATTGGACCACCACCATCCACTAGCTAAGATTGTGTCACTCTCTATCTACAATACGAAAGCAAAGTTCTAATGTGAATCTTCTCTGTTGTTTACATCTTTGTTGATTTTGATTGCCTGTTGAGAGCTTTGGCTCTCCCGTCTCTTTCATATATCGGCTGCATATATATGTATGCCGTCATCATATCACGCGCATAAAGGAAAAAAGGATGCGCGTAAGCTTCCAAAATGCTTATTCACGCCTAGAAAACTAATTTATATCATCAGTTTTGTTTTTCCCGGGAGTTAATCTCCAATGGATTGGGCGAAGAATGGCAATTCGCATATTTTGCAATTCTACCGAGCATCTTCTATTGGAGTGTTGTTTTGCGAGAGAGATGTATGGAGTCATGTTATGAATAAATACGGTCTTACCTCTTGACCGCTCCATTTTGGGGTTTTGGTATGATTGGATGTCATGCAACATACAATCACTGTTGGGGATTCGAAACAATCAAATCGAATATTTGCCCTTCCGGACCTTGTGTTGAAAGTAGGAAAGTAGGGAAATTCACCTCAAGTAAAGATCAAAAACTTGCAGAAATAATAAAGAAGACGAACACACAGATTTAACGAGGTTCGGCAACGTGCCTACGTCCTCGGGAGCCACACCACACAATTCTTTTGATTAATTGAAGAAGAAATACAAGCTCTCAAACTAGGATTTTCTCTCTCTGAGATTCTCTCTTTTTCTGCTGTCAAAAAACTCTCTTTTTTCGTGTGTATCTCATCCCTAAAAACGTTTAGGTATATATAGAGTCCTGAAAGAAACAGAATCCAAAACAGTTTAGGAAACTGTTTGACGCGGTTGACCATGACGGTCGACCGCACAGGTATCACGGTCGACCACGACGGTCGATCGAACCACTTTCCCGAGAGTAGAACACATTACAGTGTTGGTGCGGTCGACCGTCACGGTCGACCGAATTGATTCCCGAGACCAAAAATCCCTACAGGGTTAGCGTGGTCGACCGCCGCGGTCGACCGCCTTCAGCTCCAGCCTCTTGTCAGCTTCTGTGCACGTTTGCGGTCGACCACCTTCAGCTCCAGCCTCTTGTCAGCTTCTGTGCACGTTTGTGGTCGACCGTACAGGCCTCCTCCTGTTTTTCTCGATTTTCTCCCTCGTTTTGATTCTAGCTTCGGCTTCAACTTTGGGTCTACACTTTAGACTAACAATCCCGTACTTGGAGACCAAAGTGACATCAACGAGTTCACCCAAGCTCTCCCTTCTTCGCAAGTATTTTCTCCTCCCCGGAAAAATCATTTTTTCAATCATCAATATCCTGGCGATCTCGCCAATCCTCGTAGTGTGGCTCCGCCTTCGTCTACTACTCGTGAAGGCCAACTGAAGTTGCGCACAACTCCAGTTTCTCAATGGTGACATGTCCGCCGGATTTTGACTCCCCAAAATCTTCATTAAGTGTAACTTTACGTCTTCAACTAGCGAACGTATAAAATTATATTTGACGTCGATGTGCTTCGTTCTGGCATGATATACTGGATTCTTGACAAGATGTATAGCGTTCTGACTATCACAATAAAGAACTCCTCTCCCTTGCTTCAGATCCAACTCTTCTAAGCACCCGTTCAACCAGATTATTTCCTTGCTTGCTTCGGTCACCGTGACATACTTAGCTTCGGTTGTAGAAAAAGTTACAATCTTCTGCAGACGTGAGACCCAGCTCACTGCTGTCGACGCTAAGATATAAACATATCCCGTGGTGCTTCGCCTCGTATCATGATCACCGACGAAGTTCGCATCCACGTATCCCTGTAGCACCAACTCCTTCCTCTTGAAACATAGTGGTTTGTTCGTTGTTCCCCTCAAGTACTGCAATATCTACTTCACGGCCTCCCAATGATGTTTCCCTGGATTGCTAGAAAACCATCACGTACATGAGACTCCTAATGTCCGAAGAATATAGTACCCTGCTCATATGCTCTTTATCTGCATCTGTCTTAGGTGATTGATCCCCAGATAGCTTGAACTGACTTCCAAGGGGCGTGCTAACAACTTTAGCATTCTGCATATTGAACCTCTGAAGTACCTTCTTAATGTATTCAGCTTGGCTCAATCTCAACGTCCCTTCAGCTTCATCCCTACTGATTCGCATCCCTAGAATCTATTTTGCTGCACCCAGATCTTTCATTACAAAATTTTTTGCTAGCTGCTTCTTCAAACTGTTTATATCTTCTAAACACGGTCCTGCTATCAACATGTCATCAATATATAATAACAAGATAATAAAGCTGGACTTGAACCTTTTGAAATAACAGCAATGATCCGAATTGTATCTTCTGTAGCCATTGTTTTGCATGAAGTTATCAAACTTCTTGTACCATTGTCTCGGAGCCTGTTTCAAACCATATAAGCTCTTCTTGAGCTTGCACACAATCTTTTCCTTTCCTTCTTCAATGAAGCCAATAGGTTGCTTCATGTAAATTTTTTCATCCAAGTCACCATGAAGAAAGGTAGTCTTCACATCTAATTGCTCAAGAAAGAGGTCTTCTGCAGCTACTAAACTCAACACCACTCTGATGGTTGTGAGCTTCATAACAGGGGAAAATATCTTCGTGTAGTCCACTCCTTCCCGCTGTTAAAACCCATTCACTACTAATATGGCTTTGAATATCTTGCTTCCATCACTCTCCTGCTTGATCCGGTAGACCCATTTGTTATGTAAGACCTTCTTCTGTGCAGGTAGCTGGGCTAACTCCCATGTTTCATTAGTGAATAGAGAATCCATCTCCTTCTGCATCGCATGCTCCCACTGTTGAGATTCACTCACTTGCATTGCCTCTTCATAGCACTCCGATTCACCTCTATCTGTCAATAATAAGTAATCAAGAGATGAAAGATATCTGGGATTTGGTTTGGGTACCCTGGATGATCTCCTAAGATCCACGCCCTAGGTAGTTTCTTCTATACCTGGAGTCTCCTCCGTTCTTTGGTCAGTACAAACATCATCACCCCTATCTGGAAGTTCCTCTAAATCCATGTACTCGGATCCACCTGCATCCGAAGTGATGCTCCCACTGCTTTGGCTATCCTTGGTATTTTTTCTGTTCTTGTACATCACCTCCTCATTGAATATCGCGTCCTTGCTTTTGATGATCTTCCTGTTTTTCCCATCCCAAAGATGATACCCGAACTCATCAATATCATATCTAATGAATGTTCATTTTTGTGACTTAGCTTCTAGCTTGTCCCTGACATGGTCACTGATATGAACATAAGCCACGCAATCAAATACCCATAAGTGTGAGAGATTTATCTTCTTTTCACTCCAAACCTCCTCTGGAATCCTAAAATCCAATGGAACTGATGGCCCGTGATTAATAAGGTAAACTACCGTATGCACCGCATCTGTCCAAAATATCTTAGGCAGACTTGTATGTAATCGCATGCTCCTGGCACGCTCCGTCAAGGTTCTGTTCATCCTCTCTGTAATGTCATTCTACTACGGCGTCCCTGGAGTAGTCCTCTCTAAACGAATATCATTTGTAGCACAGAACCTCTTAAACTCCTCCAACTCGTATTTTTCACTATTGTCTTATCTCAGACACTTCACCTTCAGATCTGTCTCGTTCTCCATCATGGCCTTCCACTTCTTGAAGACTCCGAATACCTCTGACTTGTGCTTCATGAAGTAAACCCACATCTTTCTTGAGTGATCGTCGATAAAGGTGATATAGTATCTCAAACCGTCAAAAGAAGACACACTAGCTGGACCCCATACATCTGTATGAATCAACTCTAGCTTCTGAACCTTAGGTGGCCTTTCACCCTTCTGGAAACTAACCCTCTTTTACTTCCCAAAGATGCAGTCTTTACAAACCCCGACTTCCACGGAGTCGATCCCAGTTAGCTTTTCCTGTGAATGTAAGATCTTCATCCCCTTCTCGCTCATGTGCCCTAGCATGTTGTGCCACAGATCTGTACTCTCTTTGTCAGCTGCAATTACGAGGGTATCACGCGTATGTAAGGTGAGATAGAGAGTCCCTAGTTTGTTGCCTCGAGCAACTATCATCGTACCGTTGGAGATTCTCCATGAATCCTTGTAAATATTGAAACATAGCCTTCTGCTCCAAGCTATCCCACCGAAACAAGATTCCTCTTCAGCTTCGGTACGTGTCTCACGTTCTTCAAGGTCCATTTAGAGCCCTTCATATGAATCAGTACTTCACCCTTTCCAACAATATTACAAGGCTCGTTATTCCCC